TTTTGTTTTTGCATATCTATATCGTGATGAAGACTATCAAATCCTAATGATTTTTTTTTCAAATGATTTTACTTATTATATTAGATGTGGAGCGCCAACATCCATCTAGTTTCTCACTAATTGATCTAGTAAATCTATCCATCTAGTCTAGTAAATGAAGAAGATAAAATAATTGGACCAAAAAATTATGTTCCTAGTGCAGAGCCAGAGGCTTGTGGGTGACCTACTTTCTATATTTCACCTGGACCGTTAGAGTATACCTACGAAACTTGGACCCCACAATTTTAGCCCAAATGTGGTCCGGTTGGTGATCAATTCAGGTGGTCGTCCTCGATTGGGACAGTGGAGGGAGCTGTTAGTGCCACTAGCATGCCTTTTTAACCACCTGAGATCATTTCCTAATAAACAATCAAAGTTGAAAACTCTTGAGATGTCCAGGCAAATCAGGATCAAGTTAAGTGGTCAAGAAAAGGTAATCTTCATTCAAATTTGGAACCCAAGAAATCAATCATTGTGAACTTTTAAGTGGCTTTGGCTCCAAGATTATGTCCTTTTTTTCTATTTTTCTGTAGTTATATTCTATGTATGTAACATCTACCATCATCGATTTAAATAGCAATAACGTAATCGTCTTGTTGTACACCCACTATTTGACATTCAGCCGAGAGCTTAGTGAAAAATAAAACTATATTTTTGAAATTCAAATTGCAAAACAAAATGATGTTAAAAACAATAGGTTTTGAAACATACTTTAATCCGTTTAAATTATTATTTTTTCAAAAAAATTGCCTCGATTAACGTGTAAATTGATCTTGATTAAAGCATAAATTAATTTGAAAATATTTTTATAATAGAATGAAAAATAAAAAGTATATATATATATATATATAAAGAAATGCATGCACGGATGGATTATGAAATACTATGCTATATGATTGGGCCATTAATTAAACCCTCTAAAAGAGATTAATTTGTCTCGAAGACACCAACCAAACCTCCGTTCAAAATGTTCAATCAATCATCAGACTTGCTTCTCAAAGTTCCAAAACTCCAAGCAAATATGATTCTGTCTCTTTTGGATTTTGGGCTCTTGGACATCTTTTGTAATCCTATTTTTACAAAAAGTTGGTAACCAACCTTTCATGTCAGTGAAATGGATCTTATTACTTGTATTAAGAGACACTCTTCTTTGTTTATCATGGCACTATAAATTTCCAAATGATGATTGCTGTGTTAAATAGTTAACCGGCCAAACCTTGGAAAAGATCATCGGGACAATGATTTCTCATGTAGGAAAGTATGTATGACAAGGGCATTATATATTTAATTTGCATGCCCTTTGGACAATCCTTATTGGTAGGTCATCATCCATGGAAACTAATGAAATTGATGAGTGGCTTTTGTTTTCTTTATTTTAATCCAAAGTAATCATTCAAGCAAACTTAGTTAAACTATGCAAGCTTTCTTAAAAAAAAAAAAAAAGCAGTTTGAGATGTCCCATTTCTTTTTACTAATGTTTTACTTTTTTTTAATGCTTTCCTTAATGTGATGAATGCAAAGGTTCGAGCACTTGTTTTGAGCTCTCTTGAAGACTTAGCATCCACTAATGAGGCAAAAAGTTAGTAATTGAAACATGTAGGGTTTTACCATCATTAATTGAGAACGTCTTTCTCAATTGTGGACTCGATCTAACAAACCCAGGCGCCATGAATACAATGACGAAAATGACATATTTCAAGTATCAATAATGATCTACTAATTAATTCAACAGTCTCTTAAGATGGGATGGACTTTTGCATGTTTGATTTTAATTATTGTATTTATGAGTTAAGTAGCTTTTAATCCAATTCTTTAAAAAGCAGAAATATTTGATAAAGAGTTTACTTAAAAAAAATATATAAAAATAAACATGCTATCTTATTATAAGTGAAGCATATACCTTTTTATAATAAGTTAGATAAATAGGTTTCCTTCTCATATTATCGTTTAGAATTTGCATTCTAATAAATGATATAAAAAATAATTTTTAATTAAATACATCATAGTATAAATAGGTTGTTTAATATCCAATGCAGATGAATTTAATTAGCCTTTATGTTTGACATTAAGCATGAAGATTTAATGAGATTTGAAAGAAAAATTTTGGATCTAAGACAGCTGTAGTTTTAGGGTGGGGCTTTGTCCACCACGTGTCCGGCCATCATTTATCGGCCAGGTATATATATATAATTTCATCCTTTAATTTATGTATAGATCATTTATAGTCTCTACGAGTTGGATACTCATATTATGTTGCGGTCAAACAACAGTTATGTATGTAGTGTCATATATGTAAATACATAATTAATTTCTAACAAAACTAACTAACTATATATATAACAAAATTATTTTAAAATTTTTTAATTATAATATTTAGTTTAATTAATTTTTTTCTAATTTTTTTATGAATTCTCTATTTAAAAAAAAAAACATAAATCATTCTTCTTTATGGATTAATTTTAAAATTAAAAATTATAATAATTTTAACTAAAATATTAATCAATAATTGAAAAAAAAAACTTTTAAGATATAATTTTCACAATATTTTATTCTAAAAAAGAGTTATAATTAATGGATATACTTTTACAAAAATTAACAACAAAAAAAAATTCTTATTGAATGCCAATGAGAAGATTAATTTTTGAAATTATTTGTGCAACGCTACTAGTAAATAGAACAAAATAATTTCAAAATGTTATTATTTTTTAATTAATTTTTTATTTAATTATTGCTATTTTTTTGTGTTTTTCATAAAATTTCTGCTTAAAAAAACTTGATTTATTCTTCGTTATTCAGGAATTCTTAAATAAAAACTTGTAATAATTTAAACTTGAAATATTAATTAAGAATTAAAAAAATACTTTAAAATTATATATTTTTATAAGAATGTATCTAAAAAATAAAGTAACAATTAATGTATTGAATTGCATAAAAATTAACCAATGAAAAAATAAAATTAGCATAAAAATATTATTTGAATAATTGGTTGGTTCCTTTAAAAAATTATTTTAATTATTTTATTCCAAATAAATTAGTTCTATAGTGTTAAAAAAATATTTATAGCAAATAATTTGTACTATGTTGGAAGATGTATAGTTAATTTTTAATAAAATCAACGATTCAATAATTTTTTTTATACGTTTTGACCATATTTAGTGAAGTGAGATAAATTATTCGAAATACACTTTCGACCTTTTAGAATAAAATAATTATATATTTATATATATGCAACTATCATGTAAAAAATTTAAGAATTCATGATATATATTATATCAATTTATTTTTTTAAAAAGAAAAAACAATCATATTTTAAAATTTTATTCTAAAATTCAAACATAGTGAAAAATAAATTATATAATATCAGTAAATAAAATTTCATATAAAAAATATTAATTGGATGAGAATTTTTTTAAAAAGAAGATAAATTCAAAGAATGAAATTTAAATAATAAGAGTAATATAAACTGAAGTATATATTAGTTTTAAAATATAAAAAGATATATTATATAATCGTGAGTTTGTGTGGAAAAAAGTTATGATTGATTTTTCAAAATTTTAACACCCAATTAAAAAAGAGAACATAAATTGATGGAAAAAAACAAAGAAAAAATTAATTTTTTTTTAAATTTTAACACCCAATCAAATAAAAAAGAACATAAATTGATGGAAAAAAGTAAAAGAAAAAACCAAAGGAAAAAGAAGAAGAAAAGGCATGTGTAGTGCATCAATCAAAGGATTAAAATTTTTATTTTAAAATTTTAAGGAGCAAAATGAAATAACTTAATATATATATATATATATATATATATATATATATATAGGTTGGAACAGCCATTTACTGTCCAAATGAACAGTCAATGAACAATAAATCACTGTTCTTTTATCCCAGATGATTTAGTTTTATAGTAAATGTTCTACATATTTCACTCCTTTAGCTTTAGTTATAATCGATTTAGTCTCTCTTTTAAGAATTAGTGGAGGAATGGAGGGTGATTGTACGTGGCTTTTTTGATAGCAAACTATAATTTACTTTGTTATATTTTGTGTATGAATCCCTCGGCACCTAAACCATATATGGGTTGTCCAATAAAATATGATTCATGATAAATTTTATATTAAATCATACTCTTTTTTTCCCTTATAATTATCCAACTAAAAAATCTTTTATCCAAATTCATATCAATATTTGAAGTGAAAAATAATTATTTTACGTAACGAATCTATAAACACTAATGCAACATGGAAAAATAAGTGGAATAACCCTACCATTTAACATGTTATATTATATAAGTCTTTGTATTTTCTTTTCTATATCAAAAGATTTATGGTATATAACATTGTTCAAAAAGAAAAATGAGCTAGGCGTTGATCACCTATTGTGCCACATGTTAAATATAATTTAGTCTTTTTAATTTATTTTTTAAAAGTCAATCATGAAAAAAAAAAATAAATAATGACAGCATAACAATCCTTGATTATCTATAATTTAATTGCATTGAATTACTAGGTAATATTTAAATATAAAAAAACATAGAAATGAAATTCCACTATACGTTATTAATATCACTTTACCTCTGACAAGAACATTTATATTATACAATAATGTATATTATTTTATGTCACATACAAGTCAAATTGGAAAATATTGATTAAATTGAAAGTTAATAATTTTCATGTTTTGCTAATTGGATAATTAGAAAAGGGTGATTCCCATTTGATGATGGGATAACAAGTACCTTGAAGTGCCCAATGGGCCTGCAAAATGATAGCTCGAATCAACTTTAATTTTGTCTCTTGGGCCTCCTTTTGGCTGGAAGGAAAGTTCAAGAAAGCCCACAAACTATGTATTCCATTTTTTATTTTTTATTTTTTGCCATCGGTTTATCACTCAGTCTTCTGCATTTCTACCAATTACTACACGTTGACAGTTGACACTGAGAGCAGAGGGCTGATCATTCCGAAATGACTGCAGCTGCCAAAGACGATTGCAGTAAGCAAAGTAAGAATGTAGCTGTTATAGGTGCAGGCGTTAGGTATGAATTGTTTTTGGAGTTTATCGTTTCTGGGTTTTTTTTTTTTTTATTTTTTAGTTTAATTGTGTGTGATTTTGCTCACGCTTTTGTTTTTTGGTTAAAGTGGGCTTGCTGCTGCATACAAGCTGAAATCAAACGGGGTGAAAGTGACAGTGTTTGAAGCTGAAGGAAGAGCGGGAGGAAAATTAAGAAGTGTTTCCCATCATGGTCTTATTTGGGAAGAGGGAGCTAATACCATGGTAACCATTGTTCTCTCTCTCTCTCTCTCTCTCTCTGTTAATCATTTTTTATAGTTTATTTACATATTTTTCGATCGTTTTGTGTAAATCTTGTTGCTTGCTTTGTGAATCACAAGTGTGCTTAATGGGAAATATTCTTTGTTGCTTTGACAATGGTTGTTTTAGTATTTGTTGCTCTTTGTTTGTTTGGTGAAGTGAAAGTTTTTCAATACTGTGCAGACTGAGAGTGAAGTGGAGGTCAAAAGTTTACTTGATGATCTTGGACTTAGAGAGAAGCAACAATTTGTAAGGCTTATCATTCTTTACTTGATCTCTTAATTTAATGCCATTTTCTTTTTTCAAATGCTTAGGCTACCAGTGCTCCATATTATGAAGTGATGTTCTGTGTGCTCTAGTTGAATTTTGAGAGTTGGTGGCAGATTTTTTTTTTGGTCTGATTAATTTATTGATGTCTACCTCTGCAGCCCATTGCGCAGAACAAACGGTATATTGTGAGGAATGGGATGCCAGTACTGGTATGTCTATCTTATGGGTCTTTGTTGCCAACCAATAAGCTTACTTCCATTGTTACTTATACAAAAAGGAACGTATTTGTTGTACTCTGTCTTTCTTTTTTCTATCTGCAGCTCTATTTATCTAACTGTTAGTGTAAACTCTACTCATGTTTTGTGCCAGATACCAACAAATCCAGTTGCGCTGATCAAGAGCAACTTTCTATCTTCACAATCAAAGGTTTGTCTTTCTGGAACATGTCTGAGGAACATCCAATAAGCTAGCAGTATCCCGCTGCTGTGTTTCCCCTCGTGATGCCGATATCTTTTGGTTCATCAACAGTAGCTGCACATAACTTAATTTTTGCATACAAAAGGATTGTTGGCTAGCAACCTGAAAGCCCTTGGAATCTTGAAAACCGTGGCTTCTGCTGCTCTGTTTCTTATTTAAATTGTGGACTCTGGGAATCTTGCAATGCCATTTTGTTTTATAGGAATTGGAAATACGAAGGGGTTGATTGGCAATTTCATTGTGTTAATACTTTAATTGATAGATGGATTACCTATTTGTCTGCCTAAAATTTCTGACCTACATTTGTGAACTTGGAATCTTCTGATTAGTTTAAAAAGTTAACTAGGATCGCTTGTCAGAAAACAGAACCATTTGTTCTTTGCACAAATAGTCAGTCTGATGTTTAAGCTTCATAAACAAGTTGCAACTTTTTATTTCTGTGCATTCTTAAGAGCATGCATTTCCTTGGCTGCAGCTGCAAATAATTTTGGAGCCATTTTTATGGAAGAAAAAAGAGGCCTCAAAAGTTTCTGATAATGATATGCAAGAAAGGTGATAAACTCATTATATTGAGGTTATTCATCTCTCTCACGCTTGTTCTTCATCTCCTTTACATCACAAGATTTTGATATTCACCTCATTCATATCTTCATCTTGCAGTGTTGGTGAGTTCTTTCAGCGGCATTTCGGGAAAGAGGTATTATATTCATTTCAATACAACAGATTTTTACCTGCCACATTACCCAACAGAGGGTCGTGTAATTTTTGACTAAATTGTGAAATGAGAATATATTTTGATTTAATTGTTGATCTCACTTTTTTGTTTTTTCCTTCTAAGGTTGTTGATTATCTTATTGACCCTTTTGTTGCTGGCACAAGTGGTGGAGATCCTGAATCTCTTTCTGTGAGTAATGGCTCAGATATTTGGATTACCTTGTATAAGTTATGGGATCTTTTTATTAGCGCCAATTAATAACACAACTAGAAAATGTACTTTGTTCTGGGATTCTGATGGTGCTTTGCATTGATCCCAAATAATTTGGTTGAGATAGGAAGAATGGAATCTGCTTTAGGATACTGAAACTAAAAGTTTTATTGAACTGCTCTTAAGAGCTATGGAATTCTATTCTAGGAGTTATGACATGATCTTCTTGGCTTCTGCTATTTTCCTTTTGTTCTGGATTCTTGTTGATCATCTTGTTTTTTCCTGAAACAGGCACGCCACAATTTTCCAGACGTGTGGAATTTAGAGAAGCGGTATATTTATGCTTCTTTTTATCTACTGATGTTTATTTTGCCTTGCATTTTTGAATTGGAATGCAGTTGAGTCATTCTCTTCCAATTTCTGCCCTTTGCAAATCCTACATTTAGTGAAGCTATGGACTAGATTGATATATTGTTGCTTTTTTCTTATGCATTGGAAGACCCTTACTGGACCAAATAATATTTTAACGATCGTAGAATAAATCCATGATATTGTCATGTTCACCCATGTTTAGTCCATAGGAGCAGCCATATTATTGATGCAATTTTAAATGCAAGAACTGTCGCAGTCTTCTAGGCAATAGGGAAGGATTAAAGTTTAATGAATGAATCTGACACTGATGAAGTACTTGAGATTAATGATTGACATTCTATTAATGCAGTAATGATCACTGCATGATCTCTGCTTGTTTACTAACGTAAACCTTTTCTATTCTACCAGGTTTGGTTCTATCATAGCTGGGGCGGTTAAAACCAAGCTATCTGCCAAAAAGGAGAAGAATGAAGAAATAAAAGGCTCTTCAGAAAAAAAGAAACGCCAACATGGTTCGTTTTCTTTTATTGGTGGAATGCAGGTAGTTATTTTGGGTACTGTTTGTTTTCCGAGAGGATGTAGTTTGCATGCTGTACCTTGCATTATGTATAACCTTTACTTGTAGGAAGTAGGAAGTAGGAACATCGCTTAGCTGTTCGGATCTGATGGTACCACAATTGCTTTCATCAATTTTGGTTTGTTGAATAATAATCGTGGATAAGTTTTCTAGGCACTACTGTTGAGTCCTTCAAAATACACTTGCAGATTACTTTAGTCAAGGCCTTTTTGTATTTGCTGCTTAATAGTTGTGCAGTTCTACTTCATCCAGTTAGCAAGTTTTGAACCAGTGCCCATAGAACCTGACATGTTTTGAACAAATCCTTAATATTGGATTTTCCTGTCATCCATCTGCAGTATCCTCTTATTTGGGAATAGATTGCCTGAAATGATAGGATCAAAACTATTCCACACTCAAAACTTCAGGATATAGATGTTTGGCCAGCTTATTGTCCAGCACTGCAGGTGAAAGCATCCCTTGCGAAGATGTTGTTTTTCATGCAGATGCATGGTGTTACTTTCTTAAGCACAGATCCCATCTGTAATGAGTTTGAGTCCTCCTACCCTTGGTTAGCTACAAGACTAATTCCCCTTGGTGGTTACCAACTAATGTCATCTGGAACTCATACTAGACCTGTGCTCAACCAAGGGCTGGCCTGTTCTAGTGGGGCCAGTCGAAGCAGTGGAGGATTAACTGTGGTGGCCAAAAGGATCTGTAAATACCCTGTTGCCTGTAAATATTATATAAAAAATCATCTGTAACAAGAGAAATTTTCTCATGAAAAATATTTGATTAACAATAAGGTTCAAACCCTTCAAAACTTTGATGCTAAACAATTTTTGCGAGCCTGTCAGCTCATATTGCACTGCAGCATGGAGCACTACTTAAGACAATTTTTACACACATTCCAACATAGTGGCAGCATTTTTTCTTAGTTCAAGTTTCCATCCATGGGAAGAAAACATTCTAGTGATTACTTTAAGTGTAAACAAAATCATTGTATCATAAACTAAAAATAACATAATCAAAGCAAGTTATAGCTTACAGATGGAGTTGTGAAAATGAGAATCATATCTGTTTCTGTAGTTTTGCTATGGCTTGGTATAGTCCTTGTTGTTATCAGGAAGGGTTAAACAGATAAAGTTTTTCCCTTGGTTTATCATTTTCTTAAACTATCGTTGAGGATATTCCTGGCAACAGTTATGTATGAGGCACTGACCAATATTATGCAAGCTGTAACTCGTGACATCAAATTTAGTGTTTGGCAAGATGGTATGTTGTCTTCACGGCTTCAATTTCTTTTTAGTAATTGAATGTACAAATGGCTAAGTCCTAGGTGTTCCTTAGATTCATTTTTCCTCTTATCATTTAGATTTCATCTAGGCCATCATACTTATTTTAATTTTGCCTTTCCTTGGAGCTATACTGGATATTCTCTTTGTGATCTTTCATTTTCTACAACAGACTTAACTGGTATCTTTACTGATAGTGCTGGCGAATCTGATCCTTCCCACATACTCTTTTCTTGTAAACCAAGTAAGTGGTCCTTATTTTCTTGATTATGTATTTTTTTGCAGACACTCACTGATACTTTGTGCACAAAGCTTGGGAAAGATGGGCTTAAACTAGAATCCAAGGTCTTGTCGTTGTCTTACTGTCATGATGGGAAGTCACCTTTGGAGAATTGGTCAGTTTCTTATGCTTCTAAGGGTGGAAAGCATGCACAAGCATCGTCTTATGATGCTGTCATCATGACGGTCAGTCCTTTTTAAGTGAAGCATATTTTTGGTGGTTTTGTTTTTCTTATTGTGACACTTCATAACTGAGTCACCAAGTGGATCACATCCTAGAAGGTCGGGTTGTGTCTCTAACAACGTGACTTGTGCTGAGAAAATATTCAACTGCTGTCAAAGTTGATTAAGAAAATAAACAAGAGAGAAAGAAAGAAAGAAAGAGACAAAAGACAATATAGTTGTATGCTGAGACACTGGTTGTTGAACAATTGCCCAACCTGTAAGATTGAGTTGGACTGAAAGAAATTCAAGTTTCTCCAGAACTTGAACTTGTAACTCTGAAACTTTGATCCTTTGTTTTATTGTTTGAAGATCTATGTATTGATTGACCATTGTAAGAATACGCTTTGTGTGCCTGCTTTTATACATTTTGCTTTTAGGAGTTGGATGGCATCTTACCTTGTTTCTCTCTTAAATGCTTTGGCGTACATAAACATATCCGTATGCAACTCATAATATCATTTACTGTTTTTGTAAGATTTTATTCTTTTACTTTCTAACAGTGAACGTTTGTTTTTTAGGCTCCATTGTGCAATGTTAAAGAAATGAATATTAATAAAGGCAGAAATCTCTTCCCATTGGACTTTCTTCCCCAGGTACCTGCAATTTTGTTTATTAACTGCATATCTTCCCGTGGATTTACTTACATATGGGGTGTAACATACACAAATGCATGCATCATAGGGGTTGGCTTTGATACCATGTAGAATATTATGGAAGAAAATAATAGTTGTATTGCCGTGAATAATACAAGGAGTTACGGCCTACATATATAGCAGTGACACTAGCCTATTTAGGAAGTATTAGTTGTACAAAAAGACAGATTTCCCTTACTTAGGTAACATATAAAAACTTCCTATATATTTACACCATAAATTACTCTATTCTAACTTATTCTCTTTCAACAATCACAGCTTTTCTCATTTTATTATCATCATTCAAAAATCATCAGTGAAAAATAATTTATTTTTCAGGAAAATATTTTCCTTAATACGTCCAAACAGCGGAAAATAACTCATTTTCTGGAAAAATATTTTCCACATTTTCCGCAAAACAAACAAACCCTAAGTTTCTGGTCTTTCTTTGTCGAAAATTTATTTGCTTATTCCTAGTAAAGGAAGATACTTTATCCATAACAAGAATCTTCCTTATCCATAACAAGAATCTGAAAAACTAGTAAAATTCCAAATGAGATGCCAATTTGTTATATTTTTGTAGCCCAAATATCTGCATATCCTTGTTCCTGAAGCAAGTCATACTCATCTAGATGCAAATTCTGCACCCCATGTTGGATGGCGTTACATAAGTTTGTTTCAGTGAAAAGAATTTTGTGCACAAATTTATTGTTATCATCCAACAGACATCCTCATAAAGAAGTGACCAGCAAAAATTACTGAAGTTTTTTTTAACAACTTTGCAGTTCGATTTTGTATCATCTTTTCCATGTCATCCTGCAGATGAGTTACATGCCACTATCAGTCATAATTACTACCTTTAAGAAAGAGGATGTCAAGAGACCTCTAGAAGGATTTGGAGTTCTTGTTCCTTCTAAGGAGCAACAAAATGGTTTAAAAACTCTTGGTAATACTTTGCAAGCCTACCACAGTGGAGGAACTTGGATAATGTTCAGTGTTTTGATTATACATGTGTTCTCTTGCACTCACCATGCTTTTATTCCTTTTTGTACAGGTACACTCTTCTCATCTATGATGTTTCCAGATCGTGCACCCAAGGACCTCCATCTCTATACCACCTTTGTTGGTGGGAGTCGAAACAAGGAACTAGCAAAAGCTTCAACGTATAAAAAGCTCCAATCTTTTCTTTTTGTAATTCCTGTCAGCAACTTTCTGGTCTCACACACACACTTTCACTTTTCTACTCTGGATTTTAATTATTATTGTGGTGATGTTTTGGGCAACTAAACTTTTTTCCAATAATTTATTTTTCAGGGATGATCTAAAAGCGATTGTTACTTCTGATCTTAGACAGCTGTTAGGAGTGGAAGGAGAGCCGAAATTTGTGAAGTATTTTAAAACCTAAGCCATTTATAATCTGCTAATTATATACTTTCACCTATTTTCTTTCCCATGTTGAAGTTGGCAGTTTGTAAGAACACTAAATTACTGTTTTTACTGTGATCCATTCTCTTATGACTTGAACTGTACTTGATTGCAGTCATTACTACTGGAGTAAACCATTTCCAACGTATGGGCGGAACTATGATTTAGTGCTAGAAGCAATTGAGAAAATGGAGAAAAATCTTCCTGGATTTTTCTATGCAGGTAACTGCTCATTGATTGAAACTTGAGATACAACTTGCAGTCAAGTAATTCTAAGATCCCCTGGTTAGCTGGTGCTACAAAGTTGTAAACTGGTAGCATTTCATTTGAATCTCCAATCTCTGCAATTTTACATTAGACAAGGCAAATGGGTTATATTGACCATATATGGGAAGTTTCATTGCTTCCTATTGAATTCTTATTGTTGGATGAATGATGAACTCTTTAGGTAACCACAAAGGCGGATTGTCCGTGGGCAAAGCAATAGCCTCTGGATGCAATGCAGCTGATCTTGTGATCTCCTATTTGGAATCTTCTGCGGATGACAAGATGCTGGAAGAAGGGCCACAATCTTAGGAACATGAATTGCCTTCCTTCCTGATGTTAATTGATCAAAGAATATTGACCCTTAAAATAAAATAAAAATGTAAGTATTGATTTTTAGTTGCATGAAGAATAGATGGAATTTTACTTTGTATCAGAATGCCAAGCCTTTATAGCAACTGGTACTGCACCTTTATTCATCTAAGGCAAGTTAGGCTTTAGATTTTCTTCCTACTGTATGACATTGACCATTACGCAAGACAACCTTTAAATCTTATTTACTCCGAATTTTTATGAAGAACAAAATCTGAGAAATAGTAGAGCAAGGTGAATCCATTAATCACACTGCATGCAACTTAATTGCTCAAGCTTTCCATGTATGAACACTAAAAAAGGAACAAATAATAGAAGTGGGTATATCGTCTTCATATTCAGGCGTGTTCTAGTTGACAAAACGGAATAAATTTTTACGCATTTTTTAAAATCTCATTTTTGTACCATTTGAAATAAGCTGAAATAGACAGAAATGTTTGAGCATTCCACCAACCGTTCTGTTACACTAATTACAGAGCGAGTCTTTTATTAATTTTTTTCATGACTTCACTCAAAACATCGATCACATTAATCCAAGTTAATTATCTACAACTTTTCTAAATCTCAATGCTTAAACATTTATGAAAATTTAATCTATTGATTTGAATAATAACATTTTTATTTTCTTTTTAAGTAATCATAAATTTTCCACGATTTAGTAATTTAAAAATATCTTTACAATATATATATATATATATATATATATATATATAACATTACTTTTATATGCACTAAGTATTTGCTTCATTAAAACAACTTAGTGATATATATGAGGTTGGATAATGGATTCATCATTGTTAACACCCTGCTCTCCTTTTATTTATCTATTTATTTATTTTTATTATTACGAAAATACCAAAAAAATGATAAAACAAAACAAGAAAAAAATGAAAAAAATAAAAAAAATAGAAAAAAGAAAAAAGGAGTAATTAGAATAGTCTAGTTTAGATTAATTCTAAGAAGGGAGTAAAAAAAAAAGAGTAAAAAATAATTAAAATGGAAATTGGGGGCATAATTAAAAAAATCAAATCTTCAAGTCCTTTAATTAGAATAAAGAGGGGTACCATTGGAACAAATTAAAATAAAAGTCCCAATTATTTGCAGGAGAAGGGTTCAATTAAAACAAAAAAAAACCAAAATTGAGGGATTGTGGAAAACCAAGGACCAAGTCGGATTTTTGCTAAAAAAAAAAACCCCTACCTTTAAAAAGCCCCCATGCATTTTTTATACCGACTACTGTTCATCATCACCTAAAAAACCCATTCAGCCGTCATCTTGCTCCTGCAAATCAGCCTCACACCACAGCCTTCTCTTCCACACACAAACACACCTCACCCATACTTTCCCCTCTCTCACGCCATGCACCAACGCCCTTAAAATCCACACGCCAGTAGCTCCAGCCATCCCCACACCCATACGCACAGCAGCCCCACTCTAGCCTGCCAACTCTCGCACCAGCACCCTCAAGCTCCACATGCCAGTAGCTCTAGCCATCCTCCCTTCCACTCCAAAACAACTCCCAAATCCAGCCCTAACACATGCCACAAAACTCCCACTCTAGCCTCCCCGAAGTACCCTAAAAAAAGCCAGCCCCAAAAAAGACTTGAAAAACCAATTAAAAAACCTCCAAAATCAGCCCGGCAACTTTTATCAACAGCTCCCAAAAACCCTTACAGAGAAACCCCTTCGGACAGCCCATTTAAACCACCAAAACAGCCACTAAAAACCCTCAATCCATCTTTAATATAGCCCCAAAAAATCTCCAAAAAAGTCCCAAAATTGCCCAAAAATCAGAACCAAAACAGCAACCAACAGCAGCCTTTACAACCCTGAAACAGTCACCAACAGCCCCCAAAAACACTTGTAGAGAATCTCCTTCGGACAACCCATTTAAGCCATCAAAGTAGCCCCAAAAACACCCCAACCAGCTTTAAAATAACCCCAAATATCCCCAAAACACACACTAAAATAGCTACAAACCCCTCCTCAAAACAGCCCTTTGAACACTTTGTTTTTTTAGTTACTAAAAAGGAGGAAATAAGAGCACAAAAAAAAAGACTAAATTTTTTTAGTTGTTGTGTTGGCAGGAATAACATGATGTTATAGATTGGTTTTTTTTTTTTTAATTTTTTTGACAAGAAAATACAACAACGAAAGTCATTTTGAGTTTTCAAGAAACTCTGCAAATTTTGCAATAACATTTGGAGTGGTTGCACAAGTAATGGAGGAACTTTTGGACAATTGCTCTCCTTTCTCGGCTAACCGTATAATCAGTTTTCATTGGGATCGAAGAGAGTAAACCGACTTTGTTTCGAGTTATCGAAATTTCGAGCTTTTGGGGTAAAACTATAAACCGAGTGCATTTTTTTTTAAAATGATTGGATTATTTTTTTGTGTGAATAAAATTGTCGCATTTTGTTTAAATACTCATGGTCTAAATGTTGTTGAAATAAGCATTGCTGTAATAGACACTAAAAGACAAACTACATTGTCTTGTTGTTTTTTTTTATGCTTATCTATTTTAATATGAAATTTGTGCTATTTTATAGTTCAATTGACTTTTCGTGTTTGATTGCAATGATAAAATGAAGCTATCGATGACTTCCCACTTATGTGATGAAGTTTTCAATGGCTTCCAAAATAATTTTTATTTAATATGTATTTGTTTGAAACGATGTCGCCGGTGGCTTCCCACTTATGTGACGAAGGCTGCCGGTGGCTTTTAAATAGTTATCTACTCCTTGCTCGAGTTAACTAAAGTGATCGATAACTTTCAACTTGTGTGATGAGGTTATCGTTAGCTTTAAACTCATGACTTGAAGTTCTTTGATGGCTTCCCACTTGTATGAGCGAAGTCGTCGGTGACTCGCTGCTCATGCCAATGAAAGGCTATTCATCTTTAGAAACTCACCTATTGGTTGATAATAGATCATGTTCACTAATGATTAGTCGAAATTCCAAATTCCTCCATCTTTTCCCTTTGGGTAGGGAGTATCGGCCTTAGATTGGCCAACACTCTCGAACTACTTTATTTGACACCCGAACTATCTTGTTCTATATTTTTATAAAACAAACTCATTTAAATAGACATATAAGAATAACATGGTAAAAATTATATTTTTACATTCATAGCCTACCTTAGGTAGGACGGGATGACGATGATATTATATCTTCCCCACACATAACCGATCCATTATCTAGATATCCATATAGACCGAGTACGTTTAGGGTTTTCTAGTTCTCTTCGATTAACTAGGTGGCGACTCATTGTTTCGACCTTTTCTCACGAGTGGCCAACGTCAACGGAATTGGTGACTCCACTAGGGACACGCCACGCTAAGATCAAGCTTTGAATGTTTATGTTTTTAACATCCGGTCATTTGTTATACCTCTATGCCTATTTGTTTATATGTGTAATTGTCACTTCTTTGATCATTTGTTTTCTTGTCGTATCGTGAAAATGTATATGTATCTATATGTGTTGTTTATGTTGTTCTTCCAATTGGCTTTAATCATTTAATTTTTTATAGGATGGAAATGTATATGTACTCATTGTGTTATTTATGTTGTTTTTTCATACAACTTTAGTCATTTTAATGTTTAGCCTTTATTTTATATTTTGAGATTGGATATGGAGTTGTGCCTTCACACATTACATTACATAATTTTAAATGTCATCCGCATTTGCCTTAGGATCTAGGAAGGAATTACTCGGTGCCTCGATGGGTTTTGCCTCGAGTAACACTCATGAAACCTTAACTCTTTTGAAAAGTCGTCATTATTGTGATAGATAATCGATGGTCCCCACGATTGCCACATTTGCACTTGGTCGGCCTTAGTTCTCCCGAACTAAAAGGGACCTCGTTGAGACTTAGATAGATCCTACCCAATCATGTAATGGCTAGAACCGGACCACTAGGACCACATTTTCTCGTATAAATTCACTAGGCAAGTCAAAAATGTTGAAACCTTGACCAATCTAGTCATGAATGTTTTAGGATGGGTGACAAGAGAACTCGGGTCCAAACCCACTTGGTGATCGAATTAAAAAAAAATTCTAAGGCTTTGGAACAAATAGAGGGGGATTGCACTAGGGCTCGAATTTCATAGTAACCATAGGAAGATCACACACTTCTAGTTAGTGATCAATGACACTCAAAAGCTACTTGGTTGTTGAAAGATGCTAAGCGTTGATGATCGGTATAGGTTCCGAGCCAACTATAGGATTCGTGCATTGTTATTAGAGGTACTAGTTCATAAGCTCGCTCTCGAGGCCTTGAACCATTTATGGGATCCTTCATAAAGATGTTTCACAATGGGAGAATTGGATATAACACCATCCTTAGAAGGGTACCATCGGCTTCTAAATATGCCAAGCACTCAGTATCGGGCTATCTATATCAAAGATGATCAAATATCGAGAAAAAGGTGGAGGATTGGTTAGATATAAGCATTAGTCATGGTAAGGATAAGGGGAACATCGAAGGTTAACAATTTGAGAGTTGGTTGGATATGTTTAGATAAAAAATAAAGGATCCATGAGTCGTCTCTAAGAGGATCAAAATTCTAGCACCGATGATCTTTTAGTTAGTGCTTTCCCCTTATTAGCCGAGTTTAATTAGTTTAGATGCTATCAACATCTTCATTGAGGTAGAGAAACATTCTATAAATCCTGTTGTTACCATTCTAGTTGAAACCTTCTCTTTATTGAGTCATTGTAAAAGGTTTAGGAAAATGGAGTATGAGATGTTATGTTTAGCTACTTTTTGTGTGGGTAATCGACCATATCAAAGCCCATAAATCGAGTTTTTAAGACATACTAATAGGTCGATAAAGAATCATTAAAGGAGTTCTTTTGTTGGTATATGAAGAACAAGTTTGGACAAAAGTGGTTTTCTTCATTCCTAAGTTTGTCAAGTAGAGGTTTCTTATGGAATACG